TTTGTCTCTCTTGAGACAATTTTCCTTGGAAAAAAAACCTTTGAAATTGTTTCTCTTGAAACACAAAAACCTTTGAAACATAAACATTGAAAACATTTCCCTTGAAATGAATTTTGTCTCTTTTGAGACAGTTTCCCTTGAAACAAAATCTTTGAATATGTTTTCCTTAGAACTAATTTCATCTCCCCGTGAGACAATTTCTTTTGGAACTAAGTTTTGTCTCTCTTGAGACAGTTTTTCTTAAAACAAAATTTTGCCTCCCTTGAGACCGTTTCTCATGAAACAACAGATATCTTTGAGATTGTTTCCCTTGAAATGAATTCTGTCTCTTTCGAGACAATTTCTCTTGAAGCATCATCTGAACCGTTACACTCAGCTCAGGCACACACTTGGGATGATCGAAAGCATTTCTCAAATAAAAAAAATAAAATGTGCACATCAGATTTGAACATTTGAAGAATTTGAGATCAGGGATCAGAACTTGAAGATTCCAGAACTAAGATTCCAGAAAAGCAACCGGAGATCGAGATTTCTCTCCTGAGCCCAAAAATAACATATGTTGCATATGCATTTTAGGCATACCTAAGAGCATTGATTCCATCTCATCACATATATGCATAACTTTTTCAGGTTTTAGCTAGAGTCAATTTCAACTTCGCAGCGAAGGATATTGAGCTCAAAGCTACACAATCAACTCGAGAGTAGATTTCAACTTCGGGACGGAGGATATCTAGCTCGAAGCCAAACTTCACAATACTTGGATTTCAACTTCACGACGAAGGATATTCAAGTCAAGGCTCAACTTCACGACGAAGAGGTCATCCACGATTTCAACTCCACGACGGAGGATATCGTTCCCACACATCCACGATTTCAACTCCACAACGGAGGATATTGCGCCACCCGAGACAACACAAGTTCAACTTCACAACGAAGGGACGGCTGGTTGTCAACAAACAACTTCTCAATTTCAGAGCCAATTTCAACTTCACAGCGAAGGATATTGGACTCAAGACAACACAAGTTCAACTTCACAACGAAGGGACGGTTGGTTGTCAACAAACAATTTCCCAATTTCATAGTCAATTTCAACTTCACAACGAAGGATATTGGACTCAAGACAACACAAGTTCAACTTCACGGCTGGTTGTCAACAAACAATCTCCCAATTTCAGAGCCAATAGCGAAGGATATTGGACTCGAGACGACACAAGTTCAACTTCACAACGAAGGGACGGCTAGTTGTCAACAAATAATTTCCCAATTTCAGGGTCAATTTTAACTTCACATCGAAGGATATTGGACTCGAGACCACAAGTTCAACTTCACAACAAAGGGACGGCTGGTTGTCAACAAATAATTTCCCAATTTCAGAGCCAATTTCAACTTCACAGTGAATGATATTGGACTCGAGACGACACAAGTTCAACTTCACAATGAAGGGACGACTGGATGTCAACAAATAATTTCCCAATTTCAGGGTCAATTTCAACTTCACATCGAAGGATATTAGACTCAAGACAGCACAAGCTCAACTTCACAGCGAAGGGGCGGTTGGCTGTCAACAAATAATTTTCCAGTTCCATAGCCAATTTCAACTTCATGGCGGAGGATATTGGACTCAGAACAATACAACCTACTTGGATTTCAACTTCACGACGAAGGATATCCAATTCTCATGCTCAACTTCACGACGAATGGGCCATATACATATACAACTTCACAACGAAGGGTATCATACCCCAACGGATTGACTCAACTTCACGATGAAGGGGTCATCTGTAACATCACAACACCAAAGTATTCAGGTCAAGTTCCACCTTCACGGCGAAGTATCTTGAGCCAGAAGACGATTCATAGGCCACTTGTCAAAAGCTTTGAGCTCGTTTTCAACTTCACGACGAAGGATTTCGTGCTCAGAATTTTCCAATTTTGACTCAACCTCACAATGATTTCAACTCTACGACAGAGGATATTCGATATGGACAAAATTTGTGTCTTGTAATCTTTGCTCCATTTTTGTTACACGATAATGAGCAAAGAGGGGCAGCTGAAGACACCAGATTTTGTCCTGCCAACCAAGGAGTCTTCATGTAACCAAAAAAGAAGAGTTTGATTAGGACTCAAATACTAGTCTAAAATAGGGTTTTTTAGTACTATAAATAGGCCTTGTAATTACCACACCAGGGGGACACAATTATCATACGGGATTACGCACACACAAAATACCCAAAGCAAATATGCAATAAGCCCAAAAAATTCACTTGTAATTTTCAACAGAGAAATAAAAGAGGTATTTTTACCTATATTGCTTCGATTCTCGCTTGCATGTGGCTTGTTTCACTTCTTCTTTTCCGTTTTTACTTTGAAAGGGCCGATGAACACAAGGGAACCGAGATCTTTTCTCTTAGATCTACGTTTCCCCGAGGCTTATTTTGAAAAACCGGTTTGATTTTCGGTTACAGAAGGGGAAGAGCTTTTTAAAAATCTATATTAGTCCCTTTATTTATTATATGGATATTTTATTCATTTATTTTTATTATTCATGTTATTATTATACGTATATATATATATTTTAAATTATTTTTATTTGATTTTTTTACTATATTTTATTTTATATATATATATATATATATATATATATATATATTTATTTAATATTTTACTTATAAGTCTATTATTACTATATATATTGTAATTATCTTTATCTAGTTATATATATTTTTTATACTTTTAATAGTTTATTTATATACCTATTATTAATATATATATATTCTTAATTATTTTTATTTGATTATTTCTTTATTTACGTAATATATCTTATAACTTTATATATATATATATTATTTTTTTATTATTTTCATTTTTTTATTCATTATTATATTATTTTTTAAAAATCTTGTGTGTTTATCATTATTATTATTAAATATTATATTATATACTACTAACTTAGAGGGCCCATTTTTTGTTTTATTTCTAACTAAAGTCTCTCCCACTTTCCTCTTTTTGTCTTATTTTTTACTAAAGCCCCCCACTTTCGGTGAAACGAGAGGGTAACTTTTCTATTTTTAAATATTTGTTGTATATATATATATAGCTTATTTATTTTATTAATACTTTGATGTATATATATATATATATTTCCTTTTTCAAATATTACTATATATAATTATTATTTTACTATTTTTTTCCTTATCTTATTTATTTATTTTATTTTTTTCCTTTTATTTTATTCTTTTTTATCTTATTTGTTTTTTTACATCTTTCGATTTTTTTAAGGATATTTTCAAATCAATCTAAGGTAAGTAACCAGGATCAAATTTTATCTTTTTATTTAAAATTACAATTTTCTTAATTTAAGACAACTGAAAATTATGTGGTACCGAAAGGGCGGTTCAAGGGTGCTAATCTTTCCTTGACCGTAACCGACTCCCGAACTCGACACGTTTCTGGTACAACGCAGATTAGGTAAAATGGTTTCCGACCCACCTAAAATCGTTTTAAAGTGGTCGGTGGCGACTCCAATCCATATTTTCCTAAGTCGAAGCCCAATTCCGGGGCCCAACTGAAAGACGGTTGCGACACCATGAGGAGCAACTGAACACATTACGAGTCAATCTACTTTCTTATTGGTGGACTGAGACTTGTTCGCCGCCGTAGGACGCTTATCCTCCGACGTCTTGCCGTGTATCTCAACCCTTTCCTTAAAATGCCTCTCGAATGCTTGAGGAAGGAATCGTGGAATCAAAAAGAGAAAGAGATTGATAGAGAAGTATAATAGGTTCGCAACCGCCAGGCCCTTCCCAAACCAATGCCATACGATGTCCTGTACAATCGGTGTAATCATAAAATAGGTGTCGATGGATTGATAATGGTGGATTTTGTTAAGAAAAGTTACCTTCAGTCGTGCATCTACTGGCAGAGTTTTGTTGAGCCAAACTTCGTGAATCCAGTCGATGAGAACGAAGATCCTCCAGACTGTATATAGTAACGGTACGAGTGCCCTCAGTGGCGGTGAAAATAGAGACAGTCCACCGATCACATTCTCCGTTAGAATCTGAAACGAAAGCAAGAACAAGGGGTAGGAGATAATTTTTCTATTTTAGTCATTCTGTTGATAAATATTTAATGACATTATAAGTGAATATTTTTTCAAATTTTGAATGTCATTTGTTATCTCGATGATGAAGTGTCTTCTTCTAAATTTCAATGGCGGGGATGTGGAGGAGGAGGAAGAAGTGAAATGAGTTATATATCTTGATTTCACGTTGATCTAATCGTTGATATTAAAGATTAGAGTGATTTGGAGTTTTATGAATTTTAAAGTGATTTAGATAAAATCTAAACTTATAGGGTGGTAATAGACAATGAGACGAGTTCATTAATATTTTGAGTGGTTAGAGAAAACACCAGAGAATAACAATTGTAGCATCATCAATATAACATAAGGATAAAATTATAAAACTTTTATCTTAAGTGAAGGAAGATAAAAATGAAAAAAGAGAAAAAAAAAAGAGAAAATGATATGGATGATATATGAGTTTCATGTCACTAAAATTAATCTATATCAATATATGTGGTGTCGTGTCACCTTTCCATTTTTTATTTAATACTCAAGTGATTAAAATAGAAAAATATAAAAAAATAATTAGTAAATTAAATAAATAAATTTTAATGATCAAAATAAGAGTGAAAATTAGGTGACTTGTAATTTATATTTTTTGTCTTTAATGTACTGCTAAAATAGAATTTTTTTTCATTTCATGCGCAAATTGAAAATGAGAAAAAATCAAAACCCAAGGGCCTATTTGCAAGAATAACAAATTCGAATGTATTTAAATAAAAGCAAATTTAAAGAAAGAATATTTGGGGATAATATATTTTTTCTTTTTTTATTAGTACCTTTATTGGTTTTGAATATGTTTAAAATACAATAATAAATTAAAGTATCACTTTGGAACGAAATTATAATTGAATGAATAAAATAAATAAATTTACGTATTATATAATTAATATTTCAACACTCTTAACTATTATTTTGACATTTAATTATGGAATTTATATCATAAATGAATCCCAGTTTCGACGATTCTTTTAGTCACGTCAACGGCATTCAAAACAACGAAAGCCGCCGACGCTGGAAAACTCAACACAATCAAAGCAACCATCCCCACGGCGAGGCTCGGCCGTGTATTCATCAACATGGACTGCAAAACACCCAAAACATCGCATATGATCGAATCGTAGCTCGTGTAATAATGTTTCTCCCACTCCATCCAATCCGCCGGCGGCTCGTAGTTCCGCTCGATCATCTTCATCTCGTGTATCCTTTTCCGCAGAACGATCATGTTTTCATCGACGGGTCGCCTTGTTCTTCCTCCGCCGCAGTTGCAGTTTGGGTCGTCGTTATCCGATCTTCTGGAGGCGGATATCGTCGGCGTCGTCTTGAAGGTCGACTTTCTAGGTCGGTGATTTGGGAGGCGTGGAAGGAGAGGAGGGAGGCGTGGAAGGAGAGGAGTAATGCACATAGATTTTGATCCCATGGGTTTGGGTTGATATCTGATAATAGCGTTTGGGTTTACGGTGTTTTTATAATTTGAAATGACGGTGGGCACCACCGGTGGGGGCGGCGAAACCGTGTTGCTTAACATAGAGATACAGTAAGTTGCGCGTTTCTCGAAGTGGATATTAATAAATTAGCCTAAAATTTGCTTCGAATTTTTTTTAATATATAAATAATTTTTCTATGTATATAATTTTTTTTTGTTATTGTTTAAAAAATTATTAAGTAATGCGTGTCATATATTTTTTTTAAAAAAATTTAAATAATATTTTATCTTTTAAAAAATTAAGACGTGACATGTGTTACTCAACAATTTTTTTAAAACGGTAGGCGCTAAAAGTATAACGAATTTTTTTTTAAATATCTATTTTCAAAGAAAAAATTTTAGATATCAAATTAATTTTAAATATATTTAAACACTTATTTTAATATTAAACAAGTAATGATAGTCCATGGAGTATGCTTAGGACATGGGTTGGATCATGTCACTTGTTAAATATTAAACTGGTCGTGTTATCTATATTTAAATTTTATTATTATTTTAAATTAATTGTTTGTAATTTAAATTGAATTTTAATTTTTTTATAAATATTTGATTTCAAATAAATTATAATAAACTTAATACTATTCATCATTAAATATATATTAATAAATATATTTTTCCTATTTACTTTTCTTCGTCTTCCAAATTCCAATCCCTTTTCAACTTTTCTTTTTTATAATTCTAGAAGTCTTCTCTCTGTTTTTGCTTTGTTCTTTTATTATTATTTTTCAACATTTTTATTCTAGAAGTTTAATATCTATTTTGGTAGTTAAACTTTTATTTTTCTTTTTTTATTAGATTTATAGCTTCAATTTGTTACTTCTACGATGTGATATTTGAATTTAATAATGAATAATGTATGTTGCAATTCCATTGGTTTTCAAAATATCCATATTATCACATGTTAAAAATTATTTACATTCAGCCACTACATTGTAAAGTAATGACTAATTCAAGGTCTGAATTGGATAAAAGAAACCATTGAAAGAAGTTGATAAACTCGATGCTAATTAGTATATATCAAACCTAGCCCTTAACATTTAATTGCGTACCGTTTTAGTCCCTATTCCCTTCTTAAATTATTCTAACTCTCAATAAGTAAAAGGGTAAACTACACGGGAGACCGCTAAACTATGATAAAAAATCAATTTGATCACCAAACTTTCAATTGAATCAATCAGATCACTCAATTATTTAATTGGTTCAATCAAACCACCTGCCGTTAATTTTTTATAGAGGTGAAACAGTTGCCTCCACACCTCCAAAATATGCTTGCTTGGTCATTAATTCATATTCTAACTGCTGTTCTTGCATCTCGAGTTCTAGACCTTCGGACATACCATCCGGTTTTGGCTCACTTTGAGTGAACCTCTTAGGTGTACTCCTCCAAAGACCTCTTCTAGGCTTTCTAGGAGTAGAATGCTTAAGACTCCGTAATAGGATCTCCCCTGACTCCCTCGATTCAGGAGATGCGGACATTGAGCCTCTCAGTGGCATACGTGCCGTTGAGTTAATATTTGTCCTTGATTGTGATGCCGGCAAAGCACAAACAATAGACAAACCCATTGAGGCTTTCACTTTAATTGATGGCGACACAGTTGCCTTATCACCACCAAAATCTGCTTGCTTGGACTTTATTTCATATTCTTGGAGCTTTTTGGGTTCTCGAAACTACTGTTCTTGCTTCTCGAGTTCTACATCTTTGGAAGCACCATCTGGTTTAGGCTCACTTTTGTGTAAACCTTTTAGATGTATCCTCCCAAAGACCTCCAGGCTTAGTAGGAGTAGAACGCTTAAGTTGCCTTAAAAGGATCTCCCCTGACAAACCCTTTTGGTGCCCTTGATCCATTGAGGCTTTCGCTTCAATTGATGGGGATACAGCTGCCTTATCACCCCCAAAATTTGCTTGCCTGGTCTTTAATTCGTATTCTGGGAGCTTTTCGGGTTCCCGAAGCTTCTGTTCTTGCTTCTCGAGTTCTAGATCTTTGGACACACAATCTGGTTTTGGCTCACTTTGAGTATACCTCTTAGACGTATTGCCCCGAAGACCTCTAGGCTTTGTAGGAGTAGAACGCTCAAGTCCCCTGACTCCCTCAATCCAAGAGATGCAGACCTCGAGTCTGTCATTCGCTTACCTGCATTCAGGTCAATATTTGTCCTTGATTGCGGTGCCGGTAGTGCACAAACAACAAAGGAACCCCATTTTTGTCGCGAAGCTTCCTTTTCTGCTGCTGCTCATGCTTTAAAGGTTCTTTCTTTTGCTTTTCTAATAGACGGCCAGAACGCTTTGGAAGAGTCTTTGTTCACCCAACAAAGCCCAACCAGGTAACTCGTCTTTTTTTTTCTTCAGTTTTCCCTCATTGGTGTGTAGCTCGTCTATTTTTTTTATATTTATTGATCGATAGCAGCATTAATTTTAATGTTGCTTATCGATCATCGATATTTTTTATTGTCTATTTTTTTATATTGTATTTCTATTTTCTTTTATTTTTTAGTTTTCAATAAGTCTATATGTATGACACATTTTCATATGTTTTTATGACACATTTTCATATGTTTTTATGACACATTTTCTTATGTTTTTTGGCATGTTTTTCGGTTGTTTGGTTGTTTTTTAATTTATCTTTTTTTTAAGGGTAGATTTGGCATCGCCACGACTGATCAAGATGAGGTTTATCTGATATATTGTTGATCTTCTCTGCTTTGGACCTCAGATAGAATTTGGATATCTGATTTGTGTTTGTGGATAGTTTTTCACATCGCTCGAGTCCGATTTACGATTTATCGGTGATCTTTCAATAGTCTGATCCTCTTTTGCGGTTCATTTGTCGATGCGAACAGATCTGTTTGTATCTATCTCTGTTCGAGTTTCTTGGTTAAATTTTTAATTTTTCCTTGTATGATCCTTATGTGATCTTAAGTTATTAGTTTTGTTTTAATAATTATAAGAAATTTTCAAAATTATGTGTTTAATTTATAATTGTGATTATAAATCTTTATTGTAATTTGAGATATTTATTATTTTGAATAAAATAATTGTTTCTACCAAAAAAATAATTTAAGATTACGAGTCAACAATTTATGAGTCAATAAATTAAGCTATGGATATGATATCGAGCGATTTTGGTAACAAAAATGAGGATATTTATATTGAAATTTTAATCATAATATAAAAATACATTATGAACTAGAGAAATATGATGTAACATACAAATATCTCACGATCAAACCTGAATACAAACAATGAAAACGATTCCTTCACCAGGGAAAAGAAACTTAGGTAGAAACCTTAAAAAACACAACATAGCATTCATCATTTTGTCGATTTACGTTTGGCAGCTTTGCCAATGCCACTGAAGTAACGGTTGCACGACGTTATGACCGTCATTTCGCAGTTGTAGCTCGATCGATGTTGATATTTGCCGCAATCAATAATAATATCGTTACGTGTTCACAATCACAATTTAAATCCCAAATTATATAAATACGTGTTCGAAAACTTCTTCGGGAGTTGCCCATTTCCACTATGCGAACTCCGGTTGCTAACTTGATCTCACTCTCGCCTTCCGTTGATCTCGTAAGGAACTTGTCGGTCGTCGGCATCAATAACTAGCCCGTAAATCACATGGAAAAGCATGGCAAACTCTTATAAAGTCAGTTCTCCATGCTTATAGTACATCTAAGAGGTTTCCCCTTGACCAGGAAATGAAACGATTGCAAGGCGAATACACGAACTCACATAAACGAACATAAGAAACATGCCACCGCCGGCATGTTTCGAGTATCTTTACTATATGTGTCCAATTAACGCGAGAACAAATGATACGAGTATCTTCTCGTAATTCTCTTTCATGATTCTTGTATGATCATATTCTCGTTTGGATGTTCATAAATTCGAAAACAAATACTTCCAAGTATAAAGAGTTGAAATAATACAGAAAACAAGTGCATGATGGGGATAAATAAAGAAATCATTTATTTTACTAATACAAAAGAGAAACAGAAGAGAGCAAACACAGAATAGATAAAGAGAAAATCAGAAGGTTAAGAAAGATTTATTGTTGTCAGCAGGGATCGAAGTAGTGGGCGACAGAGAGAGAAGGGCGTTGACTCTTTTACATAGCACGCTTTAAATAAGTCATCAAACCATACATTTTGTGTTAAATAAGTATTTATATTATTTTTTATAATTTAGGTGTCTAATATTACAAAAATTAATATTTTAGGTGTCTGGACCATGAACGACATTAGTTTTTCCCGTTAAGTGACACATGTCACAACATGATAATTTTGAAAAAAAAAATTAAAAAAATATTAATTATTATATTTATAAAAAAAACCATAACTTTTCTTATATTATAAAACAGTCCCAAAATCCCAAATTCTAACTTTAATCCACTGTCGTTGCTCTCTCCGACAACAACCACCGTCGCCGACATAGTCTTTGTAATCAGCCTAGTTATATGTCGTCATAGTTGTTGCCAATTCACTATCGGAATCGCGATTTTCATCCTAGGGTGCAAGGATTTAAAATGTTGATTTATCGTCGATCGGTTATCAACCAGTCACAATTTCATAGGGGTTTTGATCGCCGGGGAGGGGAGGTCGGGTGGAACTTCTTCGATAGCAAAGGACGACAGTCGACGTGGGTTTAGAGGTTGAAATGAAAATTTTTATAATTTAGAGATTATTTCAAAATTTATGTGTTTCCTTTTAAAAATATATATATATTTTTTAATTTTATATAAAAATTTTAAAATTACCAGATTGACACATATCACTTAATAAGAAAAACTAATATCATTGACGGTCCGAGCACATAAAATGCTAATGCTTATAACGTTAGACATCTGGATTGACAAAAAAAATATAGGTACTTATTTGATAAAAAAGTATAATTTGGAAACTTATTTGAGCATCAAGCCTAGATTAAATATTTTCTTTAAAATGAGAGGTGCAACAGGAATTCTCAAGAGATCACTCATCTTAGTATTACATCTTAGTATTACGAGATCGAACATTTCAAAACATAAATCAAACATTATAAGTTGATACAAACAATCTATTCAACTATTCATTTCACAAATAGAACTTGGATTGAAACACATAACAAACTTGAGCCAAAACAGTTTCAACCGAACCGACTTGAGCGAATCCCGACCGGTTCGGTTTCGAAGTTTAAAGCATGTTATGCTCACACACCTAACAGCCAACTAACCCAACAACTTTCAATCCTTATATTATTTGAGCCTACAAAAGTCATTATAATAAATTGCTTGAAATACACGTAATCTGTAGTAAACCCCCAAACTCACTGCATAATCTTACTATCATCTTCCTTAAGCCGCTGTTCTAGTAGTATTCTTTTCTCCTTCCCACTTGCCAGTTAGAAGTTCTCGATCGAAAAAGATGTATCTAAAAACCGAAGTTTTACGAGACGCCGAAGATTGTTAAGCGCTGAAAGCACTGAACAGTTTGTTCCAATCTGAGGTGCTAAAAGCTTCAGACAGCTTGTTCCAGTCCGAGGCATCGATATTCGGAGAAAAGAAAGCAGCACCTATAGCAAGTGCAACAACAAGGACGGCCAAACCTTTCAAGCATCCATGGCCACGCGATAGCTTTCCCAATATGTGCTTACAGTACTTGCCTGCATCTTGAAACAGTGCCTGTCTGGCAGCATCAGCTTCATCGCTCATCGCTTTTACATTCTGAAAATGGAGAAAAGGAAAATGATAAATCAATTGATAATATATCCTCCAAATAAAATGTTTTAAATATCATGTCATTCTTGAAATATCCGTGTCTGGCATATGATGCTTAAAGGATCCTTGAAAATTATAAAAAAAATTAGACATACCTGTATCGGACATATATCCATAACCGACACTCACATCCAAGTCCAAATAACATAAATTTGTAGCACAATAAGCTATGTTGTTCTTAATTTTCATTTTTCTTCAAGTGGCCCCCACACCCATGTCGGACATATATTCGGGTAAGGGTATGGAGGTAGGACTCCCCAAATGAAAAATTGAATATACTCGAGGGCAAACACGAGCATCTGACACACTCAGTACCGACTAAGATGGATCGTAAGTACCTTGCTCTGAAAATTCTTGATTGTCTCCCTCAAAGGGTCAAGAGTAGTAAATTTTACAGGGTGCTGTTTCCAATCCTCAGAAATGCTTCTGAGAACAGCAACACTTGCTTCGAGATTCTCAAGATAAGCCTTTTCCTATTAACAAGAAGAAATAGATAAAAACAATTCATGAGTAGAAAGCTTCTTCTCCTTCGTAAATGCATTTCGTAAAAAACTAAAATAGTTTAAAGCTCACCCAAAGCTTGTAGCATTCAGCATTCTGGTTCAAACACCATATGAATATTCCGGTGGCTTCTTTGGATAGCTCGGGAGTAGCTGTTTGAAAAGTGACGTCGAAACTACCATTAGAACAAAGTGAGGGTAGGGGGAGTGGAAACCACAAAGAAGAAATATTTTCAAACACAAAACTGACCTTGACCGGCTGCTTTGATAGCAAAATGAAATATCTGCAGAGATACTTGTTTCATTGCTTTGCTTCCGTGGGAACCAGCGAGAGCCACTTCCTTTATTGTGGGATATATGGCCTCAAACCTTTCAGTCGCCTGCACACCATTGCCATAACATAGTAAGAAGGTTGAGACTGTAATGATTTCAAATCTATTCAGATAAATGCGCAGAGTCAGACTCTTAATCTAACCTTTACTCTAGCTGAAGATGCAGGGAAGGTAACTCGCATTAGAATCTCAAATGAAGACGGTGGCACCAGACGCTCCCCTTTTCTAACAGCGGCATTTACTAAAATTGTCCGAGCTTTTGAGGCCGATAAGATCCTTTGACAAAAAGGGAAAAAATTCAATAATCGTTTTTTGATTTGAAGCTCGAAGAAAATATTAAAAGGTGGACCAGAAAGGGTAAAAAGGTGGAAACTATAGAAACATAATACCATTCCGCTAGCTGTAAAATTAGATCTCTGGACTGTGGATTACAGTTCTTGCCACCTACAATAGGCAAGAGGTGATGTGCCCACATGTACAGCCCCACAGCAAGATCTCCTCGGGATGCCTGGACAGTACAACATTGATGTGTGAACAAGAAGCATATTAAAGAGGAACGTGTAACAGATATTTAACTACCTTCAACATTTACATATCATTTGGACTGATGATGTGTTGCCACCACTTACCTGAACAATCATCCATACAATAACGGGGAGCTTATCCTGTCCTTGGTATTTTGAATTTTCTCTCAGCTTCAGCAATACACTAACTAAGGCATCAGGTTTACGTCGCAGTACCATTGCTAGTGCCACAAATATACCAACCTGAAAACCATGTTTATATCAAACCCAAATTAAGGTGGACTCTATTTCTTGCCTAAAGTTAGAGATAGATGCCTTTTAACTTGCAAAGTTAAACACGATAAACCAAAACCTCCATGAATTGCATGCAAAAGAAACAAACAAAAACAAAAAGGAAGAAACGTTTCTCAAGTTCATTGAATTAAATGAATTCAAGCTCCCTAACAGTTAATAAATGCAACTTTCAAAGCATAAACAGTTTATCTCCCAGATATATATCACTTACATCATATTCAAAAGAAAACATATATTAGGTGCAGCCTAGCTTGAGCATCAATAAGGGAAACTTCCCATAAAATTGTTTAGACATTTGAAAGGAAATAATCCAGCTATTAACAAATCACGTTATGAGAAGACTGGGCATTTAAATTTTATGTATTAAATTGTTTAGACATTTGAAAGGAAATAATCCATAAAATTTTATGTATTAAAGCTATTAACATGACCAACTTAACAGCAAAACAGCCAATAAGTTACCTTAGACTTCGAGGATGTCTGTTGCACACTTTTCTTGGAGCCCTTAGCACTTGCTTGTTGGGCCACCAAATCCTCAAGAATGATGTCTAAAGACCATAGCACAAAGAAACCAAGTGCCTCAAGGGATTGTTGGCTGATCCACTCGGCTGATGTCTTATAAACAGCATCAGAAATATGAGAAATGGGTATCTGTCAAGGAGTCGGAGAAAGGAATTAAATTTAAATGTGAAACTAACACAACAAATAGATAGAGATGCTACAATGAAAAATCATCATCAGTCGGTTTCAATTGCAATCATGCAGATATAAATTTTTAAAGAATCTCAATGAAGATTCCTTAGAAAATCATGGATGATAACATATTTTATACAGTAAATCCAGAAATCAAGCTTTGGAAAAAGCATCCAATTTAAACAGTCAAACATGCAAGAACTTATCTTTCAAGATAAAAATACATAAATAGATTGCATCCTTTCACCGATACAACAGACAAATATAAACTCCAGATTGTGATAAATCAATACTAAAAAGAAGAAAATAGTAATAAAAAAACTCACATCAGCAAGCTTGGCAACAGTGCTCTCCTTAAACATCTTCACCCAAGGAAACTGCCCCGCAACCACTTCCTGAAATGCCTTCCCATAAAAATTCGCAAACTTCTGCATTTGAATTTCCTGCTGTTCGCCACCCAATTCCTAATTCCAAGACCAATGAAAAAAAAAAATAGATAACCAACCGAATCCTTAAACAAAGAAAATGAAATCTATCATGGTTGCGTGCTTACAGCGAGATAAACCGAGAGAACAGCTGGATCGATCTTCGCAGCAGCCTCAGCAACCGTAACCTTAGGCTTCTTTGGTTTCTTTTGCTTCACCTTCTTTTCCGCCTCCGCCGGCTTTCCGTCAGTTTTAACGCCTTCCAGATCACTATCATCGTCATCATCGAGATCGGATCTGGTATTTTTAACCTTAGCATCGGCCTCGATGGCATCAGCAGCTCTTTGAGCTTCGAGGATCCGACGGCGGCGATCCTGTGACTGTTGCTCGATGGAAAGGAAAACGTTTGGAGCGCCGTTACTTAGGGCTCCGTTAACGCGGGTAAGGTTGGGCTTTTCGGGATCGGTCGTGGATTTGGCCTTACGTTGGCGTTTGGGATACGAAACCTTCTGCCAACCGTGGTCGGCGTGGTTAGCGCCACCGTTGGCGACGGCGGAAATAGCGGCATCGTGAACTTCGTGGAGATCGACGTCCATTATTTGGGAAGCTGGAGTAAAGATTGAAGAGAGATGACTACAGGAAATAAGGCAAATTTTGGAGGGTACCAAACAGAACTGAGACCACTGATACTAATAAATAAGTAAACAAATTGGATTATTATGAATAATTAATTAAGTTCCAAAAATAAAAAAAAATGAATCAGCGGAAAATCCGCAAAACACAGATCTATTTTACATATTAATTATAAAAACTTAAAAATATTTGATTTATATCTGAAGTAATTTTTATAGTTTAATCAGTGTATGAATGATTAATTTAAGTCAAATATTATACCTGCCTATTATAATTATAGTGCGATCATTTTAATCTAATTTGTTTCACTCATAACATCAAAACTCGAACATCTAAATTTATAATCTTATTTAAAAAAAATCTAATAATTTATCCTACTAGATCAACTAATTATTAATTAAATCTAAAATATTTTTCACATAAAATATAATATATAATATTATATAACTTCATATAGCTCGAAATCTAACTTATTATAATTTGAAAATTTAATTAAAAAGTATTAAATTATAAATCTACTGACTTTTTAAAATTCTAAATCTAATTCTGCATAAATTAGTAAGAAATTAAAAATATATATCAAATTCTAAGTTCGCAACCCAACTCCGTACCAATAAAAATCGGATTATAACGTAGATATATATTATATTCAGATTAAAATTAAATCATGTATTTTACTTTGTTTAAATTTTTTATAATCTTTAATAAATTTTAAAATTATTTTTATTATATTTTTTATTTTTTATATTTTTAAACTAAACTTAAATAATATAAAAACAAAAATCCTATATGACATAACCATGGCATGGCATGTGGCATAAATAATTATGAATAATAACTAAAAATTTAAGTTAACATTGATAAAAGATGTAACTGATATAATATTTCATTAACAAAGGAAGCACAACAATAGGGGCGACATTAACAAAGGAAGCACAACAATAGGGGCAACATTAACAAAGGAAGCACAACAATAGGGGCAACATTAAAAAAGGAAGCACAACAATAGGGGCAACATTAACAAAGGAAGCACAACAATAGGGGCAACATTAAGGACGACAATGGCAATCTAAGAGTATCAACAAGTTTAGCAAGTATATCAGTCGGTTTGTTAGCTTCGAACGACACTCATCTGACGCTTATCGACCAAACATTCCTCGTCATATTATCAATAAAACGAACTAGGGGAATCGAGCTCAGAAACGCCATAGGAGCTTGAGTGAGTTTCAGAGCCTTCATACTATCGTATTGAATATGCAAACTGGTGATACCATTCTCTCAAACAAGTTGGGATTTATATTTAAAAAAATTAAATCGAACCAAATACACCCTTAAAGATAATCAAATAAATAGACATTCAACAAAAGAACACATCACATTCCAAAGACAAAAGTTGGGATTTATGAATTAATGGGAAGCAATACACACATTCTATGCCATTTCCATAAACCAATTAATGAATTAATGGGAAGAAATTTTAAGAGTGAGGGATTTACGAATCCATGCCTTCCAAATCCCAGAAGTTCCTTTCCTATAAATTGCTTCACTTGACCTTCTTCCATTATTGCCTTCCATTCCATCACTCTTTGGCTTCTTGCATAACGAGAACTTCCTTTCACCTACTGATCCAATTCTCTCCCATGGACTCAATGCTGCATTAATCAAGAAAACAAAAGACCAAACACCACAATCATAAATAACCCAACAGTTTTTCTCGTAATATCTGTATTTTCAAGGGACCAAAACCATAAATAATCCAATTGTCTCCCATGGACTCTGTGCTGCAATAATCAAAACAAAAGACCAAACACCAAAATCATAAATAACACCATATCTATGATTGGTTATAAGGTCAAATTATGGTTTGGATCCTCTAATATACTTAGATCTAGAAATTAGTCCAGGTAATTTTACTTAAAATGTATAATGGGTAAATTACACAAGAGGTTACTAAATTATATTCAAATGATAGTATGGTTATTTATTGTTTTGGTTAATCAACTTATAAAGGTTACAAAATAATTATTAAATTTATCGAACTATTACAAAATAATTATTATAATATTATAATTCAATAAATCATTCGATAAATTTTAGTAATCATTTCATAATGGTTCGATAAATTTAGTAACTATTTTACAATAATCCTTTAAAAATTCAATGTTAAAATTATCATTTCAACATAGTTTAGTGACATTTGATATACTTATTCATACATAAACAGGTCCACTATACCGTCTAAATTAATTAAACTACAGACATGAATCATTTTGACAGCAATAATCAGCGATATCAAATTATATATAAAACTTTAGGACGGAATTATATCAAAGTATAGGACTAAATCCACAAATTAAGAATAATGAATGACCCAAATCATAAATCGATAAAATACTAGTAATTCAAATAGAATTGAACAGACTTACCATCTGATTCAACTTCAGGGCAGTACAGGAGGAAGCCATTGAGGTCCGATCCAAGAACAGGTAGCCGACCCTCACGAGCGTAAGATTTCAAAGCAGTATCGATAACAGCGGCAACAAGTTGTTCCTCGTTAACAACGAATCGAATCGGCCCAGAGCTTCCCAAAACGGTGACGCTGATCAACAGCGGGTTGCCACCCTTATTCTTCTTCTTCGTGTAAAGAGCCATTACTTCAAATCAAATCGAGACGAAAAAATACGGGTTTCTCTTGTGTTTTTGAATCTAAAAACAAAAGGAAATCTGGGGTTTAACGGAGAGGGAAGTTTGTTTTTATGGGTCGAGACGAGGCCGAAACAATGAGAATACCAGCTTAGTTTCTTTGCAAGAGGAGATTACGCTCGCCCTTGAATCGGAAAGAGAGAGCATCCAATTGGTATCAGTTGGATTTGTTTCCACCATTCACGATGAAACTGAGCTTCTTTTAATTTATTTTGACAATTAGAGAGGTTTTTGCTTGCAGAGAAAGGTTTTGAGGTATTTATATGAGCGAAATGCCGGTTTTGAATGAAGGATAATGGATTTTTTGTTTTGAGCGACTGGGTCGGTTAATATCGGTGTCGTGCGGTGCGTTTGTTTATTGAGTAAACTATGTGTTTAATATTTAAAATATCAGTTTTAGTCTGTTTTAATATTTAATTTTTTAATATTTTTAAAATTATACATAACGTTTAATTTTTTATTTTATTTTAGCACCTTATTAAAAATATATCGAACCTACACTATTTACAGGTCAGGAAAAATAAGGGAGTGCACGTTAGCCGATTTTCTCTGGGTGCACGTTAGCAGGCCTAACGTTTATAGGTTCTCCGTTGTGGCTCCGGTGGGTTCGACTGGTTAGCTAGTTATTCTCGTTTCCTTAAACTTTTCTTCCCTGTTCAAAGAGTTCTATTCCATGGATTGGAGGAATCTGTTCGAAATTCCGAAAGGGCATGACCTGGATTTTTTTCCTCCAATTTCTTGCGATGGTCCTCCGATGGTTCAACCTCCGCCTGAGGTTTTTGAAGATGGGATTGCGGAGTGGAAGCTTTCTTTAGTGGGTCAATTCCTTGGGCCACCACCGAACTACACCTCAATACAGAGAATCATTGAATCCTTGTGGAAGAAAGCCTTGAACGGTAGTCGGGTGCAGATTAGTAAAGCAGGTAACAATCTCTTCATCTTTACTTTCTTTACAGAAGCTGCTAGAGATTGGGTGTTAGAACATGGACCTTGGCATTTATTTAACAAACCTTTGATTCTTAGGAGGTGGGAAACAAATCTGAAAAAGCTCGATTTTGATCTCACAAAAATTCCAGTTTGGTTTCACTTTTACAATGTGTCTTTAGAACTTTTTTCCCGAGCTGGCCTGAGTCATATTGCTAGTGCCATTGGAGTTCCCCTCTCCATGGACTCTATTACAGAAGCCAAAACTAGGTTAGAATTCGCAAAAATCTGCATAGAAATTGGGCCAAATGATAAAATTCCTGAGCATGTAGATGTTGTCCTAAGTGATGGGTTTGTTACTTCAATTTTTGTTGAAATCCCTTGGTTACCAACAAGCTGTAGAAGCTGTAAAGTATTTGGGCATACAGATAAAGGCTGTCAAAATCAAAAACATCCTCCCCAGCCTACTACACAGGTATGGAAAAAGAAAGAGCCTCCACAGAGTACAATTGCAGTAGAACCTTTAGTAGGAGGAATTGAGATACTACAAGAAAGTTTACCAGCTGTTAAAAATACTAGTATGGATCCAAACTCAAAATATCCAAGCACTGACTCTGGTAACAACAAAGCTTCAACAGAACAAATTGGTAATGAGGAAGTTACTTTAACTCCTGATCTTTCAATGGAGTCTGATAAACATGTACCTGCTGATAAAGAACCTTCTTTGTTAAAACGGGGTCGAGGTAAGCATGCTAAAGAAATATCGAAATATGTACTTGCTAGATCAAATTTTTTTTTGAAATTTTGTCAACTGTTGAGGATTCCTCTCCTGTTTCAACTGATATTCAACCTAAGAAAAGAGCAGCTTCTAAGGGTGTTGCAATCCTTTTGAATGATTTAAAAGCAAAAAAGAAGGATCGTTTGGAGAAAGTTAAGAATGTTGAAGTGGGAGTTACTGGAACTTAATCTATTTCTCAATGATTGTGGGGTTTTGGAATATTAGAGGACTGAATAGTTCTCGGAAACAAAGTGGTGTACTTAAGAGAGCTAATCTTACAAATGTAGATGTTCTTTGCCTCTTGGAAACTAGAGTTAAAACTAGCAACTCTTCACGTATTCTTGATAATAAGTTCGATCAATGGATTTCTCTTACTAACTGCAATTATGATGATAATGGAAGGATTTGGATACTCTGGAAGAAAGGTTTTGATTTCTCTGTTATACATGTGTATGATCAGTGTATCACTATTAAAGATTAACATACTAGTATTCCTCTGATAATCACATCCGTATATGGCAGTAATGATGGTGTTTTGAGAAGAAATCTTTGGCAGCATCTCCACGAAGTGAGCAGTCTTCATGGTAATCTCCCCTGGATACTGGGAGGGGATTTTAACATTATACTAAATTCAAATGAAAGTTCAAATTTTGCTATGTTGGGTCCTTTTATTTCCTCAGACATGAAGGAGTTCCAAGATGCTCTGTTCGACTTGGAACTTCGTGATCACCCTTTCTATGGCCCTACTTTCACATGGAGTAACAAACAACAAGACTCATATCTTACAAAAAAGCTTAATCGGGTTTTAGTCAACCCTCAGTGGTTTAGTATGTTTCCAAAATCACATGTGGAATTCCTTGCTCCTGGGATTTCTGACCATTGCTTCACAATTGCTCAGCTGTATAAAGAGGTTCCTGCAGATCATCCCAAGCCTTTCAAATTTTTTAATTTTTGGGTCCATCATCCTGATTTCCTAAGTACAGTAAGTCATTCTTGGCATTCATCTCCACATGGAAATACTATGCAGCAGCTTTTCATCAAACTCAAACGGCTTAAAACTGGTTTGAAAGCCCTTAACCAGAGTCATTATAGTGACATCTCTGCTCGTGTAAAGAAAAAAAATGAGAACTAGAGGAACAACAGATCATATCTCTTAAAACTGTAGACCCTTTCCAGGCAGAACTTCAATTGCAAAATGAGCTTCAGCTCCTTGAAAAAGTAGAGAACATGTTTTTAAGGCAGAAAGCAAGGATCCAATGGCTTAATCATGGCGACAAATGTACTAAGTTTTTTTATTCTGTAGTTGCAACAAAGACCAAGATGGACACTATTCGAGTGCTTATTGATGACCATGGGAATCGTTTAGAAACTTATGAGGATATGGCTGCAGAGGTATTACGGTTCTTTACTATGCTGCTAGGGACTGAAAATTCAGGAATTAAAGCATGTGATCCGAACACATTAAAAGAACTGCTTCATTATTCATTGCCTTTGGAAACATCAAATGATCTTGTCAAAGACGTCACTAGAGAGGAAATTACATATGCATTTTTTTCTCAAGGTAACGACAAAGCTCCGGGTCCTGATGGATACACTCCTTATTTTTTTAAGAAAGCATGGCCTATTATTGGAGATGATGTGGTGGCTGCCATTACTTATTTTTTTAGAGAATCTTTCATGCTGCCTGCTTTTAATGCCACTTGTATTACCTTGGTTCCTAAAGTTCCCAATCCAAGCAAGGTCAAGGATTTCAGACCAATCTCGTGTTGTTCGGTAGTCTACAAAGTCGTTTCTAAAATCTTGGTTAAAAGATTGACTTATTTGCTTCCTGATCTTATTTCTTATAATCAAACTGCTTTTATTAAAGGAAGGAACATAGTAGACAATACTCTTCTTGCTCATGAGCTTGTCAAAGGCTATGGTAAGAAGTCCATATCCCCTAGATGTTCAATGAAAATTGACCTTCAGAAAGCTTTTGATACTTTGCATTAGGGTTTTATCTCTGCTACTCTTTATGCTATTGGTCTTCCTGAAACTTTCATAAAGTGGGTTGAAGCATGTTTCACTGCTGCCTGTTTCTCCATATCTTTTAATGGTAGTCTTATTGGATTCTTCAAAGGTGCAAGAGGATTAAGGCAAGGCGACCCTATATCTCCCCTGCTTTTTATCCTATGTATGGATGTCCTTTCTAGTATTCTTAATAAGGCTGCTCTTAGAGGTCTTTTTGGCTTCCATCCAAAATGTAAAAAAATTGGATTAACTCATATTACATTTGCCGACGATTTGCTGATTTTTGTCGTGGGAATGTTGAATCAGTCGTGGGGGTTATTAGTGTTCTTGATCACTTCTATGAAATCTCTGGCCTTAAGCTTAATGCACAAAAAAGTGAATTCTATACAGCAAGAATTTCCCCTCGAAATATCGAAGAAATCATGCAGATTACAGGTTTTACACATGGCTGCTTACCTGTTAGATATTTGGGTGTTCCTTTGGTCTCTAAAAAACTTTCGGACAAAGACTGTGTGGCACTTATTGATAACATTAGACTGTCTGCACAAATGGTCTAGAAGACACTTGAGCTATGCTGGTAGACTTGAACTTATTAAAACGGTTCTACAGAGTATTACTAATTTTTGGTGCAGGCAATTAATCCTTCCACAATCTGTGTTGTATCGTATTGAGCAGTTATGCTCAAGGTTTTTCTGGAAAGGATCTGACAAAGCTACAACTGGTGCTAGAGTAAGTTGGGATAAGCTTTGCCTCGCTAAATCAGAAGGGGGTCTTGGTATTAAAGACATTAAGTCTTGGAATAAAGCATGTTTTATGCATCTGATTAGGAATATCCTTGCGGGTGAAGGATCGCTATGGATTGCATGGATTAAAAGCTATGTTATCAAAAATAATGATTTCTGGACCATGGAGGCTGGAATCAATTCAAGCTGGAGCTTTCGTAAACTGTTAAGCATGAGGCCTCAAGCTGCCTCTATTTTTGTTTCTGGTGCTCAATCAATCAAGGATATTTGGAATCTTATTCGCAACAAAGAGAACAAGGCCACTTGGCATAAATTGATCTGGTTTCCCCTTCACATTCCAAAGTATAGTATTATTACTTGGATGGCATTCCTCGATAGACTACCAACTAAAGACAAGTTGATTCGAATGGGTTTCAATATTGATGGTATTTGTGTGTTTTGTCATGACTTGATAGAAACTAGAGATCATTTGTTTCTACACTGTACTATGGCCAGTTCGTTATGGAA